TCAACGTTGGAACACGCACAACCAACCCAACAACCTCTATATTCAGGGTTTGTGGTCAAAGTGACACAAAATAAAGAGAATGTGGGAAGATGCTGATGGTAATTTAAAAAAAAAAAGGGAAAAAGAAAAAAGAAATCCAAATCAGGGAAAAGGCTTTGTATACTGGCTGCATTTTACTATAATAGCACACAGGCGAGCAGTGGAAACACCATCTAGCAGCTTGCTGTAGATGTAATTGTCCTAGCTGGAAAGCCTCTTTCCTTTTTGCAGAGGGTGCACCCAGATTTACAGCTTGTCAGCAGTAACAGATCATAGCAGAGACACAGCTCCGTGGCAGTGACAGATTTTCTTTACATAACAATTGGAAGATCGTGAATTTTAGACGGCATGTCTTTCCAGAGAGGCAATTTAAGAAGGGATTCAGCTTAGACAGCTTATGTCATACATCAGTTAATGTTTAATGTTTCAAATCCACAAAGTCACTGACATATTAAAGTAATCATTGCTGCGGTGATGACAAATTGTTTTCCTGACATTTCATTCAAATATTTCCAAATAACGATTAATAATCTGAAGATAAGCAGAGGACATGTCAGACAGTGCACGTGCAGTTTGTAGCCGGGCTACGAGTGTGCTTGGGGTCAGAAGTTTTCCATTATCAGGACTGAAGGATTCTAAGCTGTTTTACTCATTTATTTATTGTTACACAATTTGATATGATGCAAGTGTAAACAGATTTTAGAAGTATCTGAAGAAGTGTATTTCCTTTCACAATATGCTTGCAATAGGTACTGCTGCAGCGCATTTCTGAACTTCAGCTTGTAACACTTCATTACAGTCCTTTCAGATTTTTGACATTCAGATTGGTTTGATGCCAATCTGGTTCCTATTTGTTTTAGTAAAAGGCTTACAGGCAACACAATCCCAACAGACCTTTCTATTTTAATTAGGACATTTCTGGCTCGAGACAGCCTGCAGTCCTTCCCTTGTGATCAAGCTAATTTTAGGTTCCCTTTAAGCATCTGCATAGCAGGTTGTTCCAAACATCTTCATAGGCTGCCTGTTTCCAAAACAAAGCCACAGCACTGTAATTATAATTTGACAATAAACCAAGCTAACCAGCATTTGACCCAACAACATCTCAGCTCCACCCAGTCTGCGAGGCCAGACCTTGAAAGCTGTATAAAACAAGAACACAACAACAAGACTCACACACACTCACACAAAATGCCCCATTGACGGTATTCATATTGTTTTACTTTTAACGAGTTGTTGACATTTTCGCCCCCATAGAAAAATAAAATTACTGAGAGCGGTTAATGTCAGTCCTGTTGGCCCTGTCATTCCACAAGTGGCCTTTTGCCTTGTAAGCGATAGCCTGAGAAAGGGCAGCAATCTTATCACTGGAGAGAGCACACAGAGAAGAGAGCCAGACTGCATGCAAAGAAGGCTGCTTGGGAAGGAATGAAACACACACACATCTGCAAAGAGATAATTACACTGATAAAAGATTAAGATTAATGAGATAACTATGGGGGGAAGAAAATCTAAATATATTGTTCTGATATCAAATATGGAGGACCAAAACTGCCAAAATCACAAATAAGCAAAGAACTAACCAAATGAGTCAATGTGTAAAATATTATGCCATTAAATACAACAAATAATATAATCAAAATAAAGGTAGGTATTACTTTACAAATGTTATATATATTTTTTCTTTATTTATTTAGCCTATTTTGTTTCCCTAAACTCATTTATTTCTGTATATGTTATTTATTTTACTTTTGCACATCGTCTATGCATTTAAAGTATTAATAAAGTAACATAAAATAATTGTATATGATAATTAAGATATTAATTAAAAAGAGATTAAATTAAATAGACTGCATCTATTAACATTAATATTTATTTATTTATTTATTTATTATTAGGGTATTTTACAATACAACAGTTTACAATACAATACAATACAATAGTCAGACTATCCTTTACAGTACCAAGAAGGACAGAACGCAACAGATTGAGTGCCAAAATAATAAGCAGCACTGCTTCAAAGTTTGCAGAGCTAACTACAAATGTAAAAAAAGAAATTGCAGCTTTAAATCAACTAGGCTTAATAAAGCAGCATGTCAAATTCTATAATTAAACACATATATGTATAACTGTGTAACATATGCATCCTAGTGTTATATGACTTGCAGCACTCTGATGCTCAAGCTCTTGTCATATCTCAAGTGGATGCTGTGTTAGTCCTGGGAACTCTAAACAAAGATAAAGCTGCCGTTCCTGATGACTGGAGAGCCGCTGTAGCACTAGAGAGTGCCAGGACGGGGAGTGGGGACTTGAGATAGACAAGGTGGGTGAGGGATGGTTTCACAGAGGATGCGGATATGAAGAAAAGGTAGGCTGTGGTTCAGTATCTGTGCATGGGGATTAACTGATATCATAGGCAACATTCTCTCCTCCAGATACTTTGGAGACAGACAGTTCAAATTCCTTGTCTGGATGTTATTCTCCACGCAGTAAGACATATTCCTGGTTATGAGCTAGTGGAGATTAGTTAGCTTGACTTTTTTTTTCTAAATTGCTTCATTGTTTAGTTTGTATGCCTGTACATTTTATTCGGTATTGGTCTGTAAACAGAGGACTACAAAATTTTAATAACACATTGATTAAGTTTGCCCAGTGACACACTTTTGTAAGCCTCATTTTAATGGTTCGTTTAATACAAAAATAAAGATCTTATTTAATTCTAAAAGTCCCTTTTTTGTATGTAATTGCATGAATGGCTTTTATGCCCCGTTATATCTATGATGTGCTGATTGTGAGTTGAATAGACAAGATAAATTCCACAGGGTGTACATGGTTATTGTGCATATACATGTAAATATACAGATACAATGAATAATAATATCTGTAAATAAATCTACGGTTCATTTTCTAGAATATGATCATGTTGAAAAGCCCAAAATAAATATTTGTAGATGTGTGTTCATGTAAAAATAAGGTTAATGGACAATCGCTTATATTTTCTTCATATTGCATAATCACGTTTCTACATGCTACATTCAATGTAGAAATATAATGCATTTTATTTGAGTTAATTGTTAAGCTAGATTTTATATTGTATGCACTGCTTTAGTTGGTAAATTATATGTAGCCTTATTTTCTCTCTCTCTGTGTTTTTTAACAAGTAACTGAGCCTAAAAGTTATACTAACAAATTAAAATGCATTCAGGATTTAAATCACAACACGAGTACCAAGTTCAGTTTTGGCTTATGTTATAAAAAGTGTATTAAACACAAAGATCTATAAACGGGTGATATAAAGAGCCCACTACTGGGAATTATGACAGTGCTCCATCTCCATGGTTACTCTGTTGTGTTTGTACCAATCAATTGTTTTTCATCTTCAGCTGCATTCACACAGACAACTGAAAGCCTCAAGTCTTCATGAGTCAGGAGCCAGCAGCAATGAATAAATGGGTAACTTATTATGGTATGTATGCATATCATCCCGAAACAACAGGAGCATTGTAATCAAATCCAGATGGACTCCTGCTCTTCGATTGTGTTGTGTTGCTCTTTCTTGTGTTGCGCATGTGGTCATGTTTTGCACCTGCCAAGCGGCTGAAGGAATGACAGAAGTCTCTTTGGTCGGATGATTGACTGATGGATCTTCTGCAGGAAATAAATTACATGATGTATTGAAATACGGTCAAAAAAAACACTCACATGTAACAGAGCCAGCGCATCACTGATGAGTGAAAAAAGTCTGCTACATACTATTAGTTATGAATATAACCCCCGAAGATTAGTGCTTTTTAAAAACAAATAAATAAACATTTTTTTTAATCAATTGACTTAATGTAAAAAAAAAAAATACAATAAATATTAGAGAAAAAGCAGATACTAAAATCCACACTAAGTTAAAATTTCTTTTGTAAATGTATCTAGTAATATCTTAATAATCTTACATTTCCAATTTTATTAATAAAAATAAATGTGGATATTGTAGGCATATAAAGTAATTGATGGGTTGGTCATTGTTTCTTTTTATAAAACATTAATTATGTTTGTTATTTTGTTGGTTTGTTATTTTTGTTGGTTAAGTGAACATGCCCAATACAGTTATAATAAAGGTCGTCAATGTCACCGTTATCTTAGAACATACACATTAAATTTCCTTTCTTCAAACTTTCCTTCCCTAAATGTAAGTGAATTACAAAAAAAGAAAACTTTACCAGACAAGATTAAAAATATTTTAAAACTGGACATGTAAATGATGTTTACTATTAGGTCTACACTTCACATAAGCGGAGATGTTAGAATTACTAAATTACTTAAAGAAAAAAAAACTTCTATACCAGAGCAATAACTGAAAAAAACAATATACAATAACACAATACAGACTTACTATCCACTAACCTATTCAGCTTCTTGTGAATGCAAATCAGCCAATCACATGCCAGAAAGAAAAAAAAAGGTGATTTAAGTGACTTTGAATGCAGCATTGCTGTTGGTGACAGATGGGCTGTTTTACGTTCTTCAGACACTCCTGATCTTCTCAAATTTTCTCAGGAATTTACAGAGAACAGTCCAAACTGAAAAGCGAAATAAACATTTCCCTGGGTAAAAATGCCTTGTTGATGCCAGAAGTCAGAGGGGCATGGCCATGCTGAAGGCAAGAGGAATTCTAAGCCAGTTTCTCAACCCAGCCCATCTGATATCAGTAACCACAACACATTCAAAGTCAATTAAAAGTCGCCTTTCTTGCCCGTTCCGACGCTCGCTTTGAACTTTGAAATGAGACCACTTGGACAACAGTAATGATAAATAATTGCATGTTTACAGAATTTAATGTCATTTTTATAGAGCACCTCTTATTTTAAGAAAACATAGGCGAGATGATTTTTGAAACTAACTGCAAATTAAGCACAAAATATTTAATATCTGTATTTTACCATTTTGATAAGGCATATTTCAGTACTCCAAGACACTTTTATTAGACTTTATTAGGTTAGTGGACCATAATTAAACATAACTCTGTGGCAAACGCAGCGTTCAGCAGGCCATCAAGGAAGAAGTGACGTGCATTTCTGCAGTGTAAAGATGCACAAATCATTTTCTCCTTAATCTACAGTCACACAAAGCGCCAGGAAAATCTTTGGTGATGTTCTCAGATGATTCTGACGCTTATCACCCAGTTCCTCGTGATGTCCTCCACACCATCAACCCTCTGTCCTCCTCACAGTTTCTTCCTCAGCTTGCCTTTCTTATGGCCACCCCTTCCAAAACCTGACTTTTTAACTTCTCCGAGCCACTTTTTGTTCTTGGAGCGGAGCTTCCTCATCCCCCCGCCCTGCAGGAACTGGTGCTTCTGCTTTTTCTTGCGCTGCTTCATGATCTGATCCTTTGTTTTCAGCTCCGAGCGTGCTTTGTGGTCACCGGAGCTCTGTACGTTTGGACCTCGTCGGCCACGGCCACGACCTGGGAGAGGCACGACACAACAAAGAGGTTGGAGGTTATAGCTCGCAAGCCTGGAAGAGGGACTTGAAGTATTTACCTTTAGAGTTGAGTTAAAACATGATGGCTGATGGTCTATATTTAACAGGCAGACATGTTTGTGCTATTCATTTTGATGCCTTCCTACCTCTTGCTGGCTTCCTGCCTCCTCCGCCTCTTTCTCCATCTGATCCAGATCCTGTATCATCAATCTTGTATTTTTTTCTTCCACTCCTCATAACTGACATGTTGTCAAGTGATACAACATCTTCACAGTACAGCTTAACATTGTCATAGGAGTAGAGAAGAGGGTCATTAAGAGCAGCACACAGAGAAGCTTTTTGTTGGAAGGATACAAGTTCTTCCTGTTCTTCTTCTTACTGATAACCTGACCGCTGTCTGTTTTGATCGTCTTCTTCTGGTCTTCTTTTCCCGTTTCTCTCACAAAACGCTTCCTCTTACGGTCCCTAAAAAAAGAAGGGGGAAAAAAGACTTTAAATTATAGTTTGAAATGACCATTTTGTGGATATGAGTCAAACATAGGGAAATTTGTACCATTTCATCATTTTCTTCTGCTGGTTAAGGCGATCGCCTTCATCTCCCATGAGATCAAGGACAGCTGAAGAGGCCTGCTGTTCAAAAGCACTGCCCTCTCCACCGAGACTCAACCTGTCAACGCATAACACAGGACAAAACAGCATAAAACACAAAGC